TCAGCCACTGAGCCACATCCCCAGCCCTATTTTGTATTTTATTTAGAGACAAGGATCTCACTGAATTGCTTAGCACCTTGCTTTTGCTAAGGCTGGCTTAAAACTCTCAATCCTCCTGTCTCAGCCTCCTGAGCCACTGGGATAACAGGCGAGAGCCACAGCACCCATTCTTCATCCTCAGAATTTTTTATAGTACTTATATACACTTTTTAATATAATACTTATCAGATACTATTCTGGGAACTTTAGGTGTTATAACTCTATGAATTCCAATAATAATTGCATTGAGAAATAAATTATTATCCCCTATTTATAGTGGAAAAATGGAGAAACAGTTTCAGTAACTTGCTAAATAGAAAGACCAGGATTTCAACTTTGGTGGTCCCTTTCTAGGACCCTGCTTTTAACCACTATGCATATGACTTCTTAGCCTATTATAATTACCTTGCCTCAAAGATAAAACTTAAATCAAAGTGAAGTGTATTAACCTGGCAGGTGAAGTCTTCACAATTTGCCCTTTGCCTCACTTGTCAGTCTTACTAGGTTTTGCCTAAGTCCTCTTGCATGGAAGTCTTCCTGGTATTGAATCATTACCTTCATGCTTCAGGAGAAAACCCCTCACTCTTCACAATGTAGCACCACCTCAGTAGTAAAGCCACTGTGGACCTACTACTCCCTGCCACCGTGCTGCAGAGGGAAGGACCTTCATCTTTTACTAGAGCTGCCCATGTACATGGGGTGGTATTTTCACATCATTGCTGCCATCCAGTTATTCTTCCTCTTCTCTGTAATATGAGAACCTGGGAAGTTGTTTCTTGTTTGTTTGTTTTGAAGTACAAATAGATAATTATCATGTTTTTCTGCTTATTCAAAAGTCAAAATACTATGCCAATGAAAAGTCTTCACACTTGACTGAGAAAGCCAATTTCATTTCCTTTTTTGTTCTTTCCCGACCAAGTGTGTTCACAAATATGTCTGTGTTTATGAGTTCTTCCTTAATAGGAAATTTAGAAGCTTTGCTACAATTGCAGGTTATATCACCTTCTGAAGTGGCTACCAAGTAGCCTTAATAAAAGGCTAAATCTGTATTTAAACTTTTCTGTGTAAGTAAATGTAACTAAATGTGACAAATATTCACAGTACAGAGGCTTCAGATATCAGGATCTATTCCCTAGATCTGTCACTTTGGAAAAGCAGATGACTCAATGAAGTTGGTAAAACCAGAAGACAAAAGACTCCTAACCTGGGAGGAAGTGATTCTTCAATAGGAAGAAACTAGATTTAGCAATAAAAATAAAAATTTAGCAAATAAAATTTTCAGGACACTGGGTACAGTGGTGCACATCTCTAATCCTATCAGCTCAGGAGGTTGAAGCAGGAGGATCTCGAGTTCAAAGCCAGCCTCAGCAAAAGTGAGTCGCTAAGCAACTCAATGAGACCCTGTCTCTAAATAAAATAGAGCTGGGGATGTGGCTCAGTGGTCGAGTGCTCCTGAGTTCAATTTCTGGTACCCCCCCCCAAAAAAAAATTTCAGGACACTAAATATTATAAGGGAAATGGTTATAGTCAAAAATATTCATTGTTTAACTGGTTGTCCTAATTTCTAACCCAGCAGCTTTACTCGAGTTAATTACTATAGAAAGATGTGGAGATGTTTAAATTCTGTAACTTCTTACTCCTGTCATCACTTTTTATGAACTTTCCTCATTCTTTATCACAGGTGTAATGGAAACTATGGAGGTACTGTTGTGCAGACTCTTTGTTGTACTGTACCTCCTTCCAGTGATTACACCAAGTTCAGGTATGATCTCTCACTCAACTTTATGAGCATTAGCAAATTTTCCAAGAAAATTTTCCAAGAAAAGCAAGGAACAAACTAAACAGTTAAGTTCTTTTACAATTGTTCCTAACTTCTAGTGCGTAGTAATGAAATGAACATGGGTACCATAGAATATAGCTTGCTTAAGAAGAATCACTCCTTACAAGCAAGCCTTCTTTACTCAGATTTGTGCCAGGTTCCAGAAAGAAAAAACAAATGAAGAAGAACTAATACTTGCCCTTGAGAATTCAAGACTGATGTTGAGGAGACATGATTTTTGTCTCCTTTATTTTTACAGAGATGAAGTGATGCAAGATGTGCATCCACATTAGAATCCCTGTGAGTTATCAGCAGAGTGTGGAATAAGATAAGGAAAGATGAAACAGGCTAATAGAATCTTGAAAGAGGATTAGAATTTGCATTTGTCTGGGTATCTATGCAAAATAGAAATAAATATAGGTTATTTAGAGACACATAAAAGTTTTAGATGAAAAGTGACATAAAAGATGTAGAAGTTTCTAGCAAAAGCTGCATGTTACATGACAAAAATCTTACTGATACAAATTTAGGTGGGATTTTTTGCTAATAAAAATAATAACTGCCACAGACATCCTTGAATCTGTATTTTGAGCATAATTGTGAGTTCTAAGAAATATTCCCTATGAGTAGAACTGATGGCCAAAGTTTGTGCTATTTATTATTGTACTGAAAATGTTATTCTTAAATAGTTACCAATATATACTTCTACAAACAGTGTATATTTGAGTGTGTCAGGTAAATGTTACAAGCATCAAAGCTTTTTATCTTTTCCAAACTTACAGATGAAAATTAGAGTCTTACAGTAATTTTATTTTCTTATTAATGAGTAAGGTTGAGTATCTTTCCAAAATCTTTTGTATTTCTTTTTCTCTGAACTGCTTGTTTACATCCTAACTCCTTATTTACTTTGTGGTTTTTGTTGTTTTATTTGTTGTTTTTAAAGAACTCCTAAATATTGACTGAATTTTTGATCAATTTCATCTGTTCCATGTATTTCCAAGAAGTTCGTAACTCACTGGACTTTTAAATTCTATTTTGGATATATAGAATAGTTTTGCTTTCACTATTTTATTTTATAGATCACAAAATTTTCCCTCAAGTTGTAATTTATTTTGTCCTCCATGTTCTCCTAATTGGCTTTTAAAATTTTAACCCATTTTATTTTCAAAAGCACGTTCAGGTTTTTAAAAAAAATTTAAAGAAAGTGTAGAGAGTTCCCATATAATCTTACTTTCTCATTCCCATCTCCCACTCCCAACACACATACAGCTTCCCTTATTATTAACATCTTTCCTTAATATAGTACATGTATTATAATTGAGCCAGTGTTAATAAGTTATTATAAAGTTTACTTTAGGGTTTAGATTAGGGTTCACCCTTGTTGTATGATTCTTTGGGTGCCAACAAATTATTATATAAATGAGTAAAAGATAGCCTCTGTGTAATAATACTATGCTGCTTGCTGCTTACCACTTCAAAACTGAGACCCATTAATCCAAAAGCCCACCAGTGCTAAATCCAAAATTTTATGCATTCAATTATTTTGAATGTATCTCAAACAAGGAGTTTTTAACTATTTAATGCTTTTCTGATTTGTATGCCTTGTAAAACTGACCCCAAAATCTGCTAACTATAGATAATATAACCCTATAAATATAAAATCTCAAGCATAACTGGGCAAGATGATGTGTGATTGTAATCCCAGTGATTTAGGAGGCTGAAGCAGGAGGATTGCAATTTTGAGTCTAGCCTCAGTAACTTAGTGTGATTCTATCTCAAAGTAAAATAAAAAGGGCTGGAAAATATAGCTCAGGGTGGAATGCCTCTGGGTTTAGTTCCCAGTACTATAAAAATAAAAAATAAAAATTCTAAGTTGCTGATGCCCTCAGAGCTCTTGAAACACATAAGCCTCCTCTCCAACACCAGGAGTTCTTTGGTCCTCTCCTTCTTTCCTGGATAGTGGTACCCTGTGCCTCTACAAAGTCTCATGCTGTGAAGACTGCCTCTTCTGCAACCCTGTCCAAGTGTTGCCCAAAAGAAAGCTTATTGTATGCTATGGCCACATCATGGTTTTATATTTTTCCATAATCAGATTCTGAAATCCTCAAACTTATTATAAAAATTCATAATATCATGTATGCAACATTGCAATGTCAGACAGAATAATTTTTCCATCCTAAAAATGCCCTATGCTTCATTTATTCAGTTCTCCTTCCTCTGGAAATCCTGTCAACCATTGCTTTGTTTTACTATATCTGTAGCTTTTCTTTTTCTAAAGTGCCATACACTTAGAATTACATGGGTGTACCTTTTTAAATTGATTTATTTATCTTAGTAACATGCATTTACTCTCCCTCCATGTTTTCTCATGACTGGGCCCTTCCTTCCTTCCTTCCTTCCTTCCTTCCTTCCTTCCTTCCTTCCTTCCTTCCTTCCTTCCTTCCTCCTCCCTCCCTCCCTCCCTCCCT